GTGGTGTTGGAGAAGACTCTTCAGAGTCCCTTGGACTGCAAGGAGATCCAACTAGTCCTTCCTAAAGGAATCAGTCCTGAATGTTCATTGGAAGGACTGATGCTGAAGCTGAAACTCCAATACTTTGGCCACCTGATGCAAAGAACTGACTCACTGGAAAAGACCCTGATGCTGGGAAAGATTGAGGGCAGGAGGAGAAGGGGATGACAGACGATGAGATGGTTGGATGGCATCACTGACTCAATGGACATGAGCTTGAGCAAGCTCCAGGAGTTGGTGATGGACAGAAGAGCCTGGTGTGCTGCAGTCCATGAGGTTGCAAAGAGTCAGACACAACTAAGCAACTGAACTGAACTGAGTAAAGATGATACGGTTTCCAATCTTTAGCCCAAGAGTCTCTCTCATTTCCATAAACAGATACCAAGCAACCAACAAATAGTAAAGTCCCCACAGATCCTGAAAGGCAACTCATCCTGCTTACAAGCAACACCTGTTTATTACTCAGGTTTTCCTTAGGGAACCTAACCAGTGTCACAGGTCTGTATTCACACAGTTTGCATTTTCCACAAGGAGCTCCATCTAATGAAAACCTCACTGATGAAAACACAGAACCAGCCAGAAAATCAGAATATCTAATAAGGAAGCCGGGTTGGAAAGGGAACACCTGTATTTGTTTTAAGTGGTTTTACTAAGTGGCTTCAATAGTTACAATTGAGATTAGTTTATATAAAAATACAATCTGTGTTTGGTGATTGTCACAACCCCAATCCTTCTGCATTCAGACGGTGGGACAAGTCTGCTGGGGAAAGCAGTTCATGGGTTATGGCCTTTGCTTCTTAATGAAGTAGGGGCACCTTCTAAAATGATCATTTGCTAATATTTCTCGAGTGCCTACTCTGTACCAGGCACTGGGCAAGGGACCTGCTCTCTCTCACTTGACCATGAGGAAACTGAGGCGGGCCTAAGAGTGCTCACCAAGGAGGTGTGAGTGAGCAGAAACCCCTCTACGGGCTCTGGGTATAAGCTGCTGCTTCTTCACTCAGCAGCTGCGCGACCTTGAACACAAACATCTGTGGGGGTGGGGATGAAGTGCGGACAGGGGGGAGTCGGGAGACTTCCTCATAGAAGGACCGTCTCATCAAGAGCTCGGCGCTGTGGCCAGCCGCCAGGAAGCACAATTGCTGCTAACCCTTAGGGTCCTCCACCCCCACCCTCAGCCCAGGGAAGGGTCTTTTCAGTTCACTTGGAATCTAACACCCAAGACATTTTCTCTTTCCTCTGGGGGAGATAATCAGACATTACTTGGAAAATTATCCATGACATTTTCAGATTTCTCCAGGGACACTCATTTCCATAACTTTCCTGTTTTCAGCAGGCACTTCTACAGTGTTTCAAGGACATTTGAGAGAGAGAGAGAGAAAACGGTGCAGGACCAAACTGGCGTCAAACCCTGACGTCATCGGGAATGACTCACGGCTCACATTTAGAACAACATGCAAAGGAAGAAGAAGGATCAAAAAACAAAAAAAACAGACACCCTTACTCAAATACAGAGCTGTCATTCTGATCCCCCCAGATCAGGATCTCGGTGATGGATCGGATGGTCTCCACCAGCAGGTTCCTGTTCTGTTCTGTGACGGTGGTGTTTTTGGTCAACACGTGGTACAGATACCTGAGAGGAAGGAAAGAAAAGAGAACTACAGGTGACCAGCTGAAATGGAAGCCAGGCCCAGGGACCATGAGTGACGTCTTAGGGACAATTTGGCTGGGCGTTTTTCAGACTCAGTGGTTAGCGCAATTCCCATTCAGACGAGACATGACTCACCACCAGAGAAAACAGACAGATGATGCTTCAAACTGTTACATGACCAGCGACTCACCAACCCGAACCGAGGCAAGACTGTCAAACTCCTGAAGACAGGCAGGCTCACACTCCAGTGTGGGCAAGAGAATGGCCTGGAGAGTGGGACAAAGCGGGACAGAGCCCACCACAGATCAAGCGCAGGGCACTGAGGGAAGACTAGGCGTCGGCCTTTTTCACACTCTCAGGTCATTCTGAGGCCGGTGGAGCCAATGAAGACACACAGTGCAGCACCAGACGCCTGAGAGCCACTGTCTGGCTGATGCAGAGATGAGACCTGCAGTCACAGGTCAGGGAGGATGGGGCCCAGAGCCACCACGATCGCCCTTGGAATGCCCTAATCCCCCTGCACAGGACTGATGGCTCAGAAGAAGTGGGTGGTTTGCAGTTCAACGGCAGTGATCTTACCCGCTGTGTGCAGATGGAAGTGGAGTGGATTTGAGGGGCAATGGCGGTACCTCACCCACCCGCACATGCAGAGACCAGAGGCCCAGCCTCGTCCTAGTGGGCATGAGAATCGCAGAGGCCACTCCTGAGCAGCGCGGGGATCAGCAGCCTGGCCGATGCCCTGGGAGCACTGCCTGGCTCAGCTTTTGAGAGAGCGTCTCCCTGGCCCGCAGACTGAGGCCAGTTCAGCTTGCCAAGGTCCTAACCAACCAGCAAACTCTTATGAGTATGTCAAAACCCAGCTCAGTCACCTCTCCTTGACGCCTTCTTCAAGAACCTACCTCCCGCTCTCCTGCCCGAGTAGATTTGATTGCTCCCTCCCCTCTGGCACCTCTCTACCCAAATGCATTTGCTGCTGCACAGACCTCTCTGATTTGCAGTGAACTGCCTCCTTCACGAGACCTGAGTTCCTTGAGGTCAGGAACATCATCTTACTGATCCTGGTGACCCCATAACACTACAGAATGTCTAATACACTGTAGGTGCTCAATATATGGTGAATGGGAGTGGGGGGCCCATTTTCACGGATATAAGGTAGATCAGAGCCTGCGAGGCAAAATATAGTCAAGGAGTTAAACACAGCAAGGAGTGGCAAAGAGCAGTAATGAAGAGTTCAAACCTCCATCCCCAACAGACAGGCCTGGGCTTGATTCCTGGCCCTGTCGCCCGCTGCGTATGGCCGTGGATGAGGCGTTTCACCTCTCTGGGGCCCGGGGTCTACAGCAGTCAAGGCCTCCTTGCTGGCCTGTTGCAGAGACTCTGTGATGACGCGCTGAAAGAACCAAGCACTGCACCTGACACATGGTGACCGCTCACAGGAGGCAGGGCCAGCAGCTACTACCATTACCACCCAGCGGTGGCTCCGAGGAGGGCCCCTGTTAAAACCACGATTTAAACTCTACAAGGAGTATTCCACCAACACAGGAAGGACAGACAGGCTGGATCCACACAGTCATGAAAAGAGGACTTCACGGCAGGAGTTATAAGAAGGTCCAGAGAAACCAGAGCAGGAAGTGGGGAGTCTGGTTATGAGCTGGGTGACATCAAGCAAGCTACTTATTCTGTGTACCTCAGTTATCTCACCTGAAAAATGGGAGCAGCACCAGCACGTGACTCCTTTAGCACCTATTATGGTGTCTTAGGAACAACCAAGTTAAAAGGTAGATAACTAACCTGGCAGGTCCCATGCATGACACAAGTGCTAGCTATTACTGTTATCACTGCCTTCGCCAAATAATCCCTGAAAGAAATTCTAGGAACTATGAGGAGGCCCTTACAGACAAACCCACGGTGAGGGTGGGGTGTTAAGTTCTGTAAAGAGGATTCTCGGCACTCCCACGAGTGGTGCATGGCCCGCATGACAGGCCCTGCAAGCAGGCGAGCCTTCCTGTGACCCTCATACTCGCAGTAACCTGGGGACGCACACCTTGCTAGCAATGCACAGGCCAGGAAGGGACCTGAGGGGCACTCAGCCTCGGGGCAGAAGCCGTCTGGGGGCTCCAGCCCACCCCCCACCTCCGCAGAGCTTGCGGCTCTCTGCCTTTCTCGGTGGCGCCATCTGCTGGCAAGTGGTGATGCCGCACCAGGGTCTCATCACATGACCACAAGTGAAGGTGGGTGTCTTTTCACATGTTCAGAGCCATCTAAATATCCTCCTTTGGGAGGTGACTGTGTGAGTTTTTTGCCCACTTTTTACTAGGTAGAGAACCTTTTTTCTTATTAATTTGATGGAGTTTATGCACTCTGAATACAAAACCCTTACTGGATACACAAAAGTGAAGTCAAGTGAAGTCGCTCAGTCGTGTCCAGCTCTTTGCGACCCCATGGGACTATAGCCTGCCAGGCTCCTCCGTCCATGGGATTTTCCAGGCAAGAGTACTGGAGTGGGTTGCCATGTCCTTCTCCAGGGGATCTTCCAGACCCAGGGATTGGACCTGGGTCTCCTGCACTGCAGGTAGACGCTTTACCATCTCAGCGACCAGGGAAGGCCTTACTGGATATCTACCTATGGCAAAAGTCTTCTCTGAACGCAGCTTGCCTTTTCCCTCTCTTTACAGTGGTCTTTTGATGAGCAAAAGTTCCAAATTTTATCGTGGTTCAATTTATCAATCTTTCCCTTGGATAGTGCTTTTTGTATCAACCTGAAGAAATCCTTACCTACCCCAAGGTCACAAAGAAATACTGTTTTTTTTTCTTTTAAAAAGTTATTGTTTTACCTTTCACATTCTGACTTAGAGCACACCCGAAACTCACTTTTGTATATGGCCTAAGATATTGGCCAACATTCATTTTTTCCCATATGGCGATCTAGTTGGTTCAGCATCATATACTAGAAACGTCCTCATTTCTCCAGAGGACACCAATGTCGACTTTGTCGTTAATCAGGTGACCACACGTGGGACTCCTTCTGGATGCTCTAGTTCTACTGATCTGTTTGTTTACCTTTGTGCCAACACCATGCTATCTGATCACTGCAGCTTTATAATAAATCTTGCAATGTGATATCTTCCAATTTCTTCCCTCCCCCCCCCCATTATTATATTGGCTATTCTTGCCCCTTTGAATTTCCACATACATTTTAAAATCACCTTCTCAATTTCCACAAAAAAATATCTGCTAAGATTTCCTTTAAGACTGCCCTAAATCTCTAGCTAAATATGGAGAGAACTGACATCTTTTTGAAAGTGTAACATGATGACATTTACATTTCCTTCAAGGTTTGCTGGATGGGGGCTTGCGCATCTTTTGTTAGATTTATTCCTAGGGATTTGATGGGTTTTTTGATGCCGCTGTAAATGGGAGTGTTTTAAAATATTCATTTTCTAAATGTCTGTTGTTGGTGGATGCAAACACCCACTAGATCTCAAGCTCAAATTTCCACTGCCACTGGTTCATTCTTTTGCCACCACAATGCCCAAGCACACTGTTTCAGGTCACGTTTTAGGGAGAGCCGCTTGATATATGTTTGCTTAAGTGTGGTGAGGGGAAAAAAGAAAGCTGAATGGATTAAAGATTAATATTTTAATGTTGCATCTAATTCCACAGCTTTGGAAGATCGAATAATTCAATACCTCAGAGACACCAGTACAATATTAATATAATAATTTTCTGGTTTTAAACATTACACTATTTTAGAAAGACTGGAAACTTCAACAACAAAAAAAGAGAGGACCATTGCTGGGGCTGCAGTGTGTTTCCCTGGGTCGTCTTCTTTGCTACGGAATCTACATACTTGAGCTCATGCACGCATGTGTGCTAAGTCACTTCGCTGGTGTCGGCCTCTTTGCGACCCTATGTACTACAGCCCCTGCCGGGCTCCTCTGTCCATGAGATATTTAAGCTCAGGCAGTATGTCTGTTACCATGTCCATCCTTCTTCCCGCCCAGGCTAAAATAAAAGCACTCCTGTTACTGGTAACTGCTCACAAGCATCAGTAGCGGCTACACAGCACACCACTGAAAGGACACACAGCAGTCACTCCTATACTGAGCCTCAGAAATCAGCAACAATGTTACGATATTCCCACATCTCCACCTGCAAGGCTGCTGTTTCCTGTGTAGATCAGTTTCTAAGGGCAGAGTGACAGATTGTTCTCTGACAATTATAATAACCATGACGACAACAAGTTTCTCTCAAACTCTGTGTGTGTCCATTTTAACCACCATCATCGTAGAGACAGTCGCAGCCTCCTATTGCCAGGTCTCCATTCTGAGGGCCTCAGATCAGATGAGCTCACTCATAATCCTGCACAACAATCCTGTCGGGCTGATGCCCTGGGGAGCCCAGGATCCTCCCAGAGTCCCAACATAAGGACAGGGCACCAGGCAGTGACCCCAAGCTTATAATCATCTTAATGCAGAAGATGCAAACAATGACTTAAACGCTTTTATTAGTCAAGCATTTCCATGAAGTGATGAATGCCTAGCACCCAAGACATAAACAACAAACCAAAAAGGCATGGCAACATGTATCAGATCTTAAGGTAAGTCCTTATCATGGACCCTTATGCCACTTCTTTGGAAAAGAGCCAGCATTATCATGTCTCCAGCGAAAATTCTGCAGAAATGCAGAATCTCAATTTCAGACTTTTGCACAAGAGCCAACTCTACTCTGAGAGACAAGCTGAAGTTTGAAATGCCTGGAGACAGAAACACTGCAGTCTGTTACCAGGGTGCATGCCACACATGATAGGCTCATCACCAAGGACTCCGACTGTAAACAAATCCCTCCTCCACGGACCCTGCTTCCTTAAGAGACCCACTTATTTTCCAAGTTAAACCATCATAGTAAATAATAATTATATCCAGGTCAGAGAGAGATGTACTAAGTTGAAGTTCATACAAGTTTTACCACTTGTATCATGC